GCTTGGTAGGGTGGAGGGACAGTGCAGGAGGGGAGGACCCTCTATGAAGTGGATTGATTCAGTGACTGGGGTAATTGGGAAGGGTGTGTCAGAGGCAATGCGATTGGCACAGGATAGAGCAAGGTACGTAACAACAACAACAACAGCCTCGTTTAACAACATACCCAAAGTATTTGAGATAAAGTTTCACCACCCTTGTTGCACTTTCTCTAAGACATATTTGTTCTTTTGGCAGTCCATGATATATTCAATATTCTTCTCCAACACCACAACCCAAATGCGTAAGTTTTTTCTTCTTTTATCTTGATTCCTTATCCAACTTTCAGATGCATGGCAACTAACTGAAAATACCATGGCTTTCATAAGGTGCATCTTAGTCTTCAAAATGACATTGTTGCTCCTGGACACCTTGGAGGGGTTCGTAACAACATATTTACCCAATGCTCCATGTTAGGGACCTCTCCAAAGTACTGAAGAGCAATGGTGCCTCTTTGGAGACTAAGGTACATGTCATACAGGCCATGGTCTTTGCTATCTCTTGTTACGCATCAGAGAGTTGGACAATGACTAAAGACAATAGAAGGAGAATTGATTGATGCCTTTGAGCTGTGGTGCTGAAGAAGAGTATTGAGGGTACCATGGACTGCTAGGAAAACAAACGGATTCATCCCGGAAAGGGTCAAACCGGGCTGCTCCTTGGAGGCAAGGATTCTGAGACTTCGTCTGACATACTTTGGGCATGTTGTAAGGAGAGACAGGTCCTTGGAGAGGGACATCATGCTTGGTAGGGGGAGGGACAGTGCAGAAGGGGAAGGCCCCCTATGAGGTGGATTGATTCAGTGACTGGGGTGATCGGAATAGGTGTGTCAGAGATGGTGCAATTGGCATAGGACAGAGCGGAGTTTAGGGCTGTTGTACATAGGGTCGCTATGAGTCGCAAGCGACTCGATGGCACATAACAACAAAATGCCTTTTGATTTCTTTGTTGCTGGTATGAAAAGTGTTGTTGATGGATCCAAGCAAGATTAAATCATTGGAAACTTTAATATTTCTCTATGTATCATGAAGTTGCCCAGTTGACCCAGTGGTGAGGATGTTTGTCTTCTTAATGTTGAGATGTAATCCATATTGAAGACTGAAGTCTTGGATCTTCCGCAGCAAAAATTTCAAGCCCTCCTCGCTTTCAGCAAACAAGGTTTTGTCATCTGCAGAAGCACATTCTTGATGAGTCTTCCTTCTATCCTGATGCCACTTTCTTCTTCATAAAGCTCAGCTTCTTGAATGATTTCTTTAATATACAGATTGAATAGGTGTAGAGAAAGGATACAGCGCTGGTATACACCTTGCTTGATTTTAAACCTCACAGTGTTCCCTTGCTCTATTCTCACAGCAACCTTTTGGTCTAGGTATAGATTTTGTGTGAGCACAATCAAGTGTTCTGGAATTCCCATTCTTCTCAATGTAAGCCGTAATTTGTGGTGATTGGCATTCAACTGTCATTGCATAGTCAATGAAACACAGATACCCTGCTAATACTCTCTGCTTTCAGCCAGGATCCATCTGGCATCATCTCCCAGTGCTACAGTCTCTTCTAAATCCTGCCTGAATTTCTAACAATTCTCTCTCTAGCCATTTTTGGATAATCTTCAGTTTTACATGTTATAGGTTAGACTGTTGAAATGAATTAAAATCCAAGAGTGAAATTTTCAAATTATTTTCTTTCTTTGTAGCCGGATTGAGCACCTTAAATCACAGAATGATCTTCTAACCATAACCCTGGAGGAATGCAAAAGCAATGCTGAACGGATGAGCATGCTGGTGGGAAAATACGAATCCAATGCCACGGCCCTGAGGCTGGCCTTACAGTACAGGTGGGTAAACAGAGCGAGGAAGCCACTTACCTGTCTGTGTAGTCACTTGAAATTAGAAATGTATCCAAAACTACCTTGTGCATAAAAGCAGAAAACAGACTTCTAGAAGATTTTGCTGAATAGTTGGGCCAGTGTGATTCATACTGAAAAATCATTTCCTGCGTTTGTAGCCGTTAATAAAATGAAGATAATGAATGAGATAAACAGATGTTTCTCCTAGCACGTTCAACTTCATATTTCATTCACTGAATGAAAAAAAAAATACCCATTTTTGTTTCATGTATATATTTGCATTTAAGTCTTTGTTTCTATAATTATTTTATGTGCTTGAAATACTAATGCCTTCTGGGTCTTCAATTTGTTATACTTCTTAAAGCTGCTGTTTAATAGTCACTTTACTTTGATTGTATCTCCTGCCTCAAGTTTACATGTTCTTATTTATTCATTTCTCTAAAGGATATTGTGACTTTTGATATTGAAAATTATTCTTTGGTTAATAATTTTATGCAGATAATACCTTTAATCCCAAATACACGTGCAGAACCATCATCTGGCAAGCCTAGATGTAGTCCTGCACATTGCCCCTTCACCTTTTTCTGTTTGTCTTGTTTGTCTGCCTGTGTATCCGCTTGTTGATTCATGCTAACAGCACAGGATTATGCATGGAATTGTGTTTGCCTTTCATGTCTCTATCTCTCGTGCACCGTGTCTTCCCTTTTCAAATACTGTGCTAGTCTTTTGAATGTTTTCCTCAAGATTTTATCCTGAGTAGGTATAGAACTGCAGTAGATGAAAGGATGCAGACATTTTAATGGCCTTTAAGGCTCACCACCAGTGTTTTTCCATGAAACCAAGTCATTTGCAATTCACCCAGTAATGGCCAGTAATATGTGAATGTAACAGTTTTTTTTCTAGTCTCATAATTTTGGAAACGTATCTGTTTTTTTAAATTTCTTATTAATTTCAATGAAAATTTACCAAGACTTTGGGTTTCCATTCATTCATTGTTGCACTTTTCTCATCTATTTTTAAATTCTTGCTTGAGAGTATATTATGATTTATTATTTTTTCACAGGTTTACCTAGGTATTACTACTCAGTCATGTTAGCAAAGGATCCAATAGGAACTGTATCTTACTCTCAGTATCCTCTTATAAAAAAATCACTATTATTATAAAAATCATCGATGTTTCTTTAAAAAAAAATGAAAAGTCAAATATAAGAGACTAAAGGTAAGAAAGAAACCATAGTAGTCCACAAACACACCAAAGCAAACACATGACCCTCCTCTGAAAGCTCTTGAAGTGAGCTGTTCTGTGCCTGCAGTCTGCCTTTCATCAGACAGGTCTTCACGTCCTCACAGAACAGGAAATGTCCCTGCATGTCCAGCCTGGAAGATGGACTGTCCTTGGGAGGAGGAGGTTGTGATTGGGCCCTTTTCCTTAACCCTCACTAAAGGAAGATGAATGCAAAGACAATTGATAACAGATGGTCTGTCAACCAAATGTTGACTAAACCGTTTCCCTTACTCAGCTTAGAGACTACTCAATTATTTGCTTAGATGTGGAATTTTACTACCTTTCTTGGGACCACACAGGTGTTCTTCACAGGCTGTCCCTCCTGTGTGGACGTGGATTCGTGTAGGTTTCAAGCAGTGATAGAAGGGCCCTTCTTGATCCTTTACTTGTTTTGTCCAATAGTTGATAAACATAAAGATGAACATAAAGAAGATAATTTTTTTCCCTTGCCTTAAAATTCCAGTGTCAAACTCCTGTCATTTTGAGGAGACCTGTGAATTTTTCATGGGACAGTATTATAAGTACCCAGTGGAACTTGCAGCACTGCTCTAACCATTCTGTACCTGTGCTGTCCAGTATGGTGACTATTAGCCAAATATGGCTATTGAACCTGAGAAATATGCTGACTTCCATTTGATTTAACTTTGACTTTCTTTTTCTTTAAACAGCTACATATGGCTATTTTTATTGTTATGTACCCTGGAGTCAAGACCAACTCATAACTAACCCTCAAGTGGGTATTCTGAGGCTGTAAATCACACGGGAGCAATTGGTGGATTTGAACCACGTGCCTTTGGGTTGACAGTGCAACTCTTTTATCACTTAGCCATCAGAGCTCCCTCATATATGGCTAATGGCTACTATATTGCACAGTGCAGACCTCAATTAAAATAGTCTGCCATATGAGCTGTTATGGTCTCTATTGCTGTGTGATAATTTATGATAATGTCATAATTGCTGAAAGCCAGGAATTTGGGAGTGGTTCAGCTAGGCTGTTCTGGCTCAGGAACTCAGAAGTTTCCATCAAGCTGTCAGCCAGAGCTGCATCATCTGAAGCTTTTCCTGGAGGTGGAAGATCTATCGCTAAGAAGGCTCATTCATGTTACTGCTGGCTAGATTCCTCAGCTCTGTCTTGCCTGTTGGCTGGAAGCCTTAATTCTTCACCACTTGTTCCTCTCCACTGAGCCTTGCAAGTGTCTTTGACGCCTGTCAGCCAACTTCCCCCAGAGCAAACAATCCAAAAGAGAAAGTGAAGTAAGAAACCAAAATGGAAGCCATAGTGTTTATAAACCACACTGCAACCCAAAGGCATGTGGTTCAAATCCAGAGAAGGATGTGCGATTAACTGTCTCTGAAAATCGAGGGTCAGCTATGGGTCGATTATGACTGTATGGTACACAACAACAATCTTGAAAATGGCATGCAGTTTCTCCTCCCATAGTCTGCTGGTCACACAGACCACACTGGAGAGGGAACTACACAAGAATGCGATTGTCAAATGTGAACCACTGCCAGCTTGGAGATTTGTCACTAAGAAACTTGTCACCAAATGGATCTGTCACCAATTTGACTCTGACTTCTGGCGACCCTGTGTGTATCAGACTAGAATTTATAATCCTTATAGGATTTTCAGTGATTGTAAAAAAGCAGATCATCACTCAGTCCTTTCACCCCAAGTGCCTCTAGGTAGACTCAAACTTCCAACCATTTGGTTGGCAGCCTGGTTTGCCCTACTCAGGGATACTGACTACCAGAAGTATTTTTAGCTGATTCTCCAAGGGATCTCTCAACCTTACTTTTCTATACACATAGAGAGACCCTTGGTGGCACAATGGCTGAACGCTTTACTGCTAGCCCAAATGTTTGCAGTTCAAACCCACCCAGAGGCTTCTCAGAGAACAGCTGAGGGTGTAGCTCTGAAGTTACACAGTGCTGCTCTGCACATGTGAGGTCACTGGGAGTCAGAATCAACTTCATGGCACCTGACAGAAATGGTGGAAAGGAAGAGAAAAGGTGGTGGGAGCTGTGGCTAGGAGAGCAGAAAAACCACTGGCTTTTCCAGGGACTATTCTTGAGTGGTTCTCTACTTCGTGTGGATAGGGAGAGAGGCTGGGAGGCAGATTCAGAACCACCTTCCCCCAGGAAGCGGTGTGGGCACTGAGGAAGCTGTGTTTGTGTTTCAGCGAGCAGTGCATAGAAGCCTATGAACTCCTCCTGGCGCTGGCCGAGAGCGAGCAGAGCCTCATCCTGGGGCAGTTCCGGGCAGCTGGCGTGGGGTCCTCCACTGGTGAGTGTGGCCTGAGCCCCTCCTGCCTCGTCCTGCCTGCTTCCCTGCCTCCTCCGCTCAGTCGCCCCATCCCAGTTGTTGGCTTTGGATCATCTCCCGACAACATGAAATTCCCTTGTCAAGTGCGTTTTTCGCTTTTCCTCATGAGTGAGTGAGTAAATTGTTTATGTTAAATTCAGTAAGAACTGGAGTGGAAACAGAATTGCAGACAAGTTTAAACAAACAGCCCCTCTTAGGAAACTGGGTTGACAGTAGAGCCAGATGGAGCAGGAGCCTTCCTTGTGATTAAAGAGACCAGCTTTTCCACAGCCTCCCACAGCCATGTCCCATGTCAGAGGTGTAGCAACCCTTTCCTGCCCATGCGGCTGCTTTTTGGGGGTAGTCTTGGTGCCTGAGTTCTCCCAACTTCACTTCCAGGTGTCTTATGAATAAGCAAGAAGACATAATCCTGGGAAAGGCCTAGACTCAGAGAAAGAGAGGATGACCTTCAACAAGATGGATTGACAGAGTGACTGTACAGTGGGCTTGAGTATATCAGAGATGGTGAGGATGGCACAAGATAGGACAGGGTTCAGGTCTGTTGTTCGTAAGGCCACTGGTTGACTCCATGGCACCTAACTAATAAACAACATGCACACCTCATGCTTTTCAGAATCTGAGAACGCCAGTGCTGTGAGCCCCAGTGTGTCCTCTCGTCCCCCTCACGTCCCCTCCTCCTCTGCGTCCTGTGGTTATTGCATTTGTATCTCAAGATCTGCACTGATCCCTCCTGCATTTCAGTGTTTTTAGCTGGTTTGAATAGCCATTAATATACATCATGTACATTATGTTTTATACATTTATTCATATACATATTCTATTTTCCTTTTATTTTTAATTAGTATTGATCTATGCCTATTATCACCCTATCTTTTCAATTCTCCTCTGAGTCTTTCCTATTTCTTTACCTCCCCATCTGCCCCCTAACCTCTGCTACTCTGGTGATTTCTCCTCTTTCTCTTTTCTGCCCACATTCCCCTTTTCCTTTCCCTTTTTGAACATTTACACACATCTCACTACACACATCTCACTCAGTAATCCTTCTGTTTTTACAGTAATGATCCTATGCAGTAATTTTCCTTATGTCTGAGTTAGTTCGCGTAATGCTCTCTAGATCCTCCCACGTAATAGAGGATTTTATAAAATCATTGTTCCTTAGTGCTGCATAATATTCCATTGTGTGAATGTACCACAACTTTTCAATCTATTCATTTGTTGGTGGGTATGTGTGGGCTGTTTCCGTTTTCTTGCTATTGTGGAGAACACTGCTATGAACATAGATGTGTATATCTCCAATTATGTCTCGGTTCTGATTTCTTTGGGTATGGTCATAGCAGTGGAAAAGCTCAATCATATGAGATCTCTATGCTCAGCTTTTTGAGGAAATAACCAAACTGCATTTCAATTTTGTGTCAGTGGAAACCTGTTGGTGTGGGATTGATCTCAACTTGCACACTCCATAGGATTTTCACTGGCTGGGTTTTTAAAAAAAACAGACCTCAGACGTTTCTTCCAAGGCACTATGGGTGTGTGTGTTTCTCCCAAGGTCTCTACTCAGGCTTTTCCTCCCAGCATTTGTCTTACAAGGAGGGAGGAGGGTCATAACCAGGGTTCCCCCCAGATGTATCATCCTGTCTTCTTGCCAGCTCCTTTTTCCTGGGGTCTAGGCTTTTGCACAGAGCATTCATCAGAGAGGGGGAAAAAAGTATGTTTTTCCCTTTGTTGATTTTGACATGGAGAGGAGTAATCTGAAGCAAATCTGAAGGAAAGGAAGTGTCTCGGGTATTATTAATTTCCTGTTTCACATCCAAGTTACCCAACATGGGGCAGCCCTTCATTGATATGGGTGACCACCCTCCACACCTCCTAGGTCTTTTTTTTTTTTCTTCATTTTCTTTTAAATAGTAATTACTATCCCAGCTCTGAAGTAGAAACTCTGCCAACATTTCCATTAGAAACCTCATTTTTCAGGGTCTTTTTAACTAAGCCATAAAACTTTATTTTCATATGAAATAGATCCTACACTGGTCTTGGCCTACTATCAGTTTTGGGTTTGGTCGGTTTTCTTTAATTTAATAAATGTCTTAAAAAAGTATCAGTCACAAAGGAAAAGTCAGTCATCCTTTTTCAGGTTGTTACAGAGGAATAACTTAAACCATCCTATCTTGTAAAAGTACCTTTTGTTACCCTCGTACCTATTCAGCAAAGTTGCATAGTAGAAGCTAGAAAAGCATCAATAAATCTACATTTTAAATCTTTATAATCAATAACAAAATGCTTTATATTTGCCTAATACTAGGTAGCTCATGTATATATTTGTAAGGCAGGCCAGTGAGTAATATCATGCCTCATTCAGAATAGGACACAAAGAGCACTTGCGTGGTAAGATGTAAAATCTTTTGTTGCTCTGAAGAAGAGAGACATGAAGGTGGTCATAGAAATGGACGGATAAAGATCTCAGGGCCTGAGCCCATGGGATGTGCCCATGCCATTTCCTCCCACTCTCCACAGAGCTGAGGGGCTGGCTTGATTTTTAAGTTGCTTCCCTCCTGCTGTAAGTGCCTGGCATTAACACAACCAGCTTGCTCTCAGTTACTAACCCCTAGGTAGGATTTAGAACTTACTTCACAGCACTGTGGAAGGAAGTACTGGTGATCTGCCTCTGTACAGATTACAGCCGAGGAAAGCCAGTGGAGCAGCTCTACCGTGTGACATGAAGGATAGCCATCCGTGCTTCTCAGGAGCCTTCTGGCTGTTCTTCTGAGACACATTTGTTCATTCTTCTGGCAGTCCCTGGTTTATTCCATATTCTTTGCCACAAAAATTCAAAGACCTCAATTTTTCTTTGGTCTTTCTTAATTACTCTCCAGTTTTCATGTGCTATTATGTTGTTATGTGCTATTGAGTCGACTCATAGCAACCCTATGCATATCAGCCCTGAACTCTTCTCTGTCCTGAGCCAGTCTCCTGGACTCCAACACACCAATCCCATTGTCCCATCAATCCATCTCATTCGGGGTCTTCCTCTCCTGCGCTGTCCCTCCACCTTTCCGAGCATGATGTCTTTCTCAAAGGACCAATCTCTCCTGGCCACATGCCCAACGTAAGTGAGACGGAGCTTCATAAACCCCGGCCTCCAAGGAGAGACTTGGTTTTACCCTTTCCAGGACAGAATATGAGGCAACTGAAAGTGCCACACGTTGGATGATGGAGGACACCTCCGTCCTCACAGTGACATCGTTGATTTTGAACACTTTAAAGAGTTCTTTCACAGCAGATTTTCCCAGTGCAATTGGTTGTTTGACGTATCGATTGCTGCTCCCATGGACACTGATAGTGGTGAAAGTTAGAATGAAATCCTTTTTTCAGTTGTGAGGATTTCTGTTTTCTTAATATAGTACCTTGTTACAATTTAGGAATTTCTTTTAATCCATTCTTTTTAACTGAGTCCCATGATTTCAGTTGTGTTTCACTGGTGGCATAATGCCTCATGTGTTGGGCTTTCAGTGAAAAGATCAGAGGTTTGAATCTGCCATCACTATCAACTCCACAGCAGCAAGCTAGGCAATCTCCTCCCATGAACATTTATAGCCTTGGGAACCCAAATGAGAATCTCCTTGAAAGATACCAAATTGAGAGCAGTCAGGTAGGTTTGGACAAATGAATAAAGTCGTATGTCCTCCATTGCAGTATTATACAGAGTGGTTGTTGTGATCTAAAAATGGCCTTGACTCCCACCTAGTCATCCCTTAGAAGGATCAGAGTTCACAGAGGGAAGAGGGGAAGTTTGCACGTTAACCATTTCATTTTTGTGTCACTTGCCTACATAGAGTTCTAACCGAAGCTGTGGATGGGTGGGATATGGCACATTTTTGCCTTGATTTCTCCCTTCCCTTATTCACAGAGACGTTCAGAACACATAAGAGTGACCAAACAGTAAACTAGAAATCGAGTGGGAGAAGAAGCCAGGAGCCTGAGTAATTAGAAAGTCAGAGCATTCTAGAACTATAAACATACTCAGAGAGCATAGACACCAGCCCTTCATTTGTAGATCAGAATAGTGGAGCCCAGAGCAGAGCAGTGCCTTCCCACATACAGCAACTGAAAGGCTGAGCCTAGTGGCTTCTCAGTGCCCCTTTCTCCCCAGTGCCCCTCCTCTGTCCTGAGCAGGTTACCCAAGCTCATTCTCAGACCCGCCTTATCCAGACCTGTGATGACTAATCCATTGGCTTCTCTTCAATGCAGGGGACCAGTCAGGAGATGAAAACATCACTCAGATGCTCAAGCGGGCTCACGACTGCCGGAAGACAGCAGAGAATGCCGCCAAAGCCCTGCTCATGAAACTGGACGGCAGCTGCGGGGGTGCCTTCGCCGTGGCTGGCTGCACTGTGCAGCCCTGGGAGAGCCTGTCCTCCAACAGCCACACCAGGTAATGCGGGCCCACCTCCGGGTGGTGCATACTGAGGCCTGTGCGGTCAGGGCCCAGCTCTCAGGTCTGCCCATCCTGGGCCAGGGCCGAGTTCTCAGGCCTGCAGCCCGCTGCATCCCAGGAGTCAGAGTCAGAACACCAGAGGGGAGATGAGCCTTCACATCCTGCCAGTGTGAAAACTGCAGCCCAGTGAGAAGGCTGCAGGTGGAGGCTGAACCTCTCTTTCTGTCTGGTATTCTTTCTTCCATATTGTTTTGTTCATCATTTTTAAAATTGTAGTAAAAATGCATTTAAGAAAGTATTTGCCAATTCAACAGCTTTTACGTATGTCAATTCAGTACATTGACTGCATTCATCATGTCCTGCAACCATCACCAACATTCTTTTATAAATTATTCTGCCTCCATTAACAAAAATTCAACCTTCCCTAAGCAGTGACTGTTCTTTCTCCCCTACTTGCCCCCCTCCCAACCACTAGTAAGCTTTGGTTTCTCCTCCATTTAAGTGAGATCATCCTATATTTATCAGGTGACTGATTTATTTCATTCAGCATGTTTTCAGGGTTTGTCTGTGCTCACCATTTGTAATTCAAAAAGGTAGCTACAAAGGAGCCTTGATGGTACGGTGTTAAGCACTCAGCTGTTAATTGAAAGGTCATCAGTTCAAACCCACCATCTACTTCTTAGCTTCCTAAGCTGTAAACCACTGCACCACTAGGGCTCCTTTGTAGCTACCTTACATATTATAAAGAAGCTCAAATGGCAGTTCTCCTCTGCCCTTTGGAGTCACAGTGAGTTGGAATTGATAAAAAATGAGATTTGTGAGGCTCAAACCACTGCAGCTTGTCTGTAGGCCCCAACACTCTACCTTATATGTGAAACCATATGTTCAGCATGTGCTTACCACAACCATATCGTCATAGAGCTGATTCTGATTTATCGTGAACCCCAAAGGGCAGGTAGAACTGCCTCATCTTTCTCCTTTGGAGTGGTCGGTGATCAAACCATGATCTTTTCGTTAGAAGCTCAGTGCTTAGCCCACTACTCCACCAGGGCTCCTGCAGCATCATGTGTTTTACAGCCTCCTGATGAAGTTCACTGTTTGCAAATCTAAACTGCTAGAGCACTCAGGAAAAATGAGAAGGAAGGAAGTGAAGACCTTCTAGGTATAATTTTCCAAGGCCATTTAAATCTTCATATGTGGGAATGCAGTCAAAAGACAGCCTTTTCCACTTATTCTTTCTTTTCTTCCTCTAAAGCCCTAAAAACAAAATTGTTTACCAACTCCTTGTATACAAAATACATTGTGAGAGACTGTCATATGAAAACAAGCTTAGCCAGTTCTCACAGGTGAGAATAGCTTGGATCAGACATGTGTAAGTGATTTGCCTCATAAAAACCTGATATCAGCTCCAAATGTGTTCTTCCTTCTACTTCCTTCATGACATTTAATAAAAAAATAGAGTATCTTCTTGTCATGGACTGCCAAGGGAATAAGCAGGTCTGTCTTATAGGTGAAACCAAAATACTAGGAGGCAAAGATTTTGAAACTCCATCTTGCATGGGTATATTGTCAGAAGGGGCCAGTACTTGGAGAAAGATATCTTGCTTGAGAGGGCAGAGAGTCAACACAGGAGAGAAAGACCCTGGATGAGACGGATTACATGGTGACTGTGTCAGTGAGGTCAGGTATGTCAGAGCCAGTGAAGTTAGCTTAGGGCAGGTTTCAGAGCCATTGTTCATAGGGTCGCTATGAGTCATAATCAGTTTGACAGCACATAATAGAAACAGCAACTTGCAGATCAAGTGACCAGAACCACAGCAGAGTAGATTGAATCTCAAGAGCCAAGGGGGAAATGCTGGTGTTTTCTTGGTGACTGACAGCAATTTATTATCCTATCCTTTTAGACTAACAGGGCTCAGCCCCCACCTCCCTGCATCCACTCACCTGGCCTGGGCCAGGTGCCCAAGGAAAGGGGATGTTCCGAGTCACATACTTGGCCAGGCGCCCACAAACACAAGAATGATTTCCTCCTGACTTCAGCAACAATTGTCTTAGTCGATGAAGTACCAATTATAATTTTTCTTCCTTAAAACAGGATTGTTCTGTTTAACTACAGAAAGCGGATGTTTTTCTTAATGATTTTTCCAGATGTGTATAATCTATAATTTCTGTGTTCAGTTAAAATAGGAATGTAGTTCTAACGTTGCCAGTGACGTTTTTCTGTTGAATTAGTCAGCATCAGAATGAGGTTAGCAGGATGTTTGTGCCGCACCAGTCATTTATAAAGTCTGTATTCCAGATCTTTTGCTCACACTTTTCCACATACCTCCCCCAACTAAAAAATGGTGTTATTTTAATCTGAATAAGAGACAACTTTGGGACCAGTCAGGAGTGGGAACATTTGGCGCCATCTATTTAGCAGAGACTCTGGTTGTGAATATTTGTTAGAAATGCATGAAGTTCCCAGGTCGTGAACATTCACCTTGCACTTATCCTTTAATGCTATGTACATTTGCACTCAATTTGAAGCAGTTGAACCAACCTCACTGAGCCTTTTCTTGCACTGAAACTCAAAAACACATTGCTGTCCAATTGGAAATGACTCATAGCTGACCTTGCAGTGGATTTTCAGAGGCTGTAAATCACAGAGGAGGAGATTGCCCCTCTTTCTCCTGCAGAGTAGCCTAGTGGATTCACACCCCCAAAGAAGCATCACATACGGGTTTGATGCTGAACTCCCTAAAGACTCTGCCACCAGAGCCCCCTTTCCTTGCTCTAAAGCCCTGCTCATTAAGACCACATGCGCCTTTTTCCTCCTAACTACAAATTCAACTTAAAGACACGTTTAGGATCCCATCTCATTCATAAGTGGGCAGTTTCTGTATAACATACAATTGATCTTTGGTTTCTTGACTGTTTCCTTAGAGAAATTTTAGATTTTGTAATCTCTATCTGCAGGTTAAGATTAATTTAGAATATAAACCTCCATCTCCAAGGATCATCTCATAGAACAATAGTTCACGAACTAATCTCGGTCTCAAATGGATCTTCCAGTCAAAGAATGGGGTCCTCATTTCAGATTTCCTTCAATTCTTTGAAAACTCACTCTCATCTACCCATCCATAGCCAGCCAGCTCAGGGTGGGTGCAAATAAGCACAGAAGACATTGATGTAGGTGCTTCTTAGAACTTGATACAACTCAACTGCTTTCTCTTCAACATGGACTCCATAAAATGTCTCAAACCACCAGATCATCTTCATGATTGCATTAGTTTTGTTTGTGAGTCTTTTATGTCAAATTGTGTTGGAGGAGTCAAACATTTTGAGTGGGAACTGTGCGTGGACCTCCAGATTCCCTTGCCTCCCTCGGTATCCCACCAGCACGCAGACATCTATTTGGTGTGATGGCCAGCTGTTGTTGAGGGTCCTGGGAGGGGAAGTGTAAGTGTTCTCCTTCCGTGAGCATTTCTGGCAGCACAGACTCAGGCAGCCACTCAGTGGTTTTGGGGCGGAACAGCAAAGATGTAGGTAGGGACCAGCCAGGAGAATAAAAATTATAGCCAGGCCATTACTTGATTCTATTGGCAGGAGCCCAGCAATGTTACTGTTTCAGTTTTTAAAACACAGCATGGGCTCATTCGAAAGTGCCGTTTCTTAATGGACAGAGTAATTTGACCATCTTGCCCAAGCAATATTTGTTGAGAGCAGCTTTAGGAAAACACACCATCTCTGATGTTTGAGGCAAAAGATATGAAATACACTTCTACCTTTCTGTTAAGATGAGCTGTGGAAACTGAAAGGAGCACAAAAGAGTTTTCCTTTTAATAAGCTGGATATAGCTTTGTCTTGAGGCTAGAAACAGGACATGTTGGAAAGGGCCAGAGAGAGTGACTGGTTCGTGTTACACAGTGGGCAGGATGGACACCAGGGTGACTTGTCTCCTGGCTGTGGCTGGTGGCATCGGCTTCGGGAAAGGCCCACAGGTCATGAACAGATGCGGAGTAGAGCCACCATCATACGAGCTCTGGCTGCATTCCTCTAAGGAGAACCGAAGTACCCTGGCCTCACTGCTCATAAAACCAATGCAAAAAACTGGAACTGTGTGGCTCCACCCTTCTGCAGCTCAGATTCTCTTCATCTACAGCCTTCTCCTACAGTCCCCCATCCAGCCTCCCGCCCTGCAGAGGAGAAGTAATATAGCCCTACACAGAGAGTGATTTATTCCCCCCTGACAACTGAGATCATCCAGCATTCCAAGCTGGGAGAGTTAATGGATGACTTAACCCTCGCCCAGCAGCTGATGGCAGGCCCCGAGAGACCGCAGCGCCTTTGTCTACGGGAGGTCGGGGAGAAGGCTTGAGACTGCCCCTCTCTTTGCCATTGTCATAATCATATTCCACAGAGAAGCAGTCAGGGCATAAAGCAGATTTGTAATTAACCTTGCCTGATCTATCCCCAGGACGTCCTGGAAGGGACACAGGGATGCTGGAGGGGCTGTGGCTTCTGGAGCTTCTCTGGAAATTAAACTTTCCTCTGGTAAAAAAGCATTACGCACTGAGCTTCCTGCAGGGGAGGATCTATGCACTGAGATTTTGTTCTGTTTTGCTTTTTCTTTTCTGAAAAACTGTAGCCATAGCAAAGATGGTTAAAGAGAAGCCTTCTCCACCCCGTCACCAGTCCTTATGGGTGCCTGGCCACCCACAAGCATGTTCCTCTCAGATGCTCTGGGTGGTTCACCCAGCCTGTGCCAGGACTCCCTGCCTTGCTGCTTTCTCTTTGCTCCCAGGGAGATTTTCTGGGGGCTTGTAAGTGACTAGCCTGATAGGTAGCTAACATCCTAAGAGGGCCCCCAAGTCTAATGGTGAGTGTAGTGGGGGACATTGGAACAGATGAGCTGCCACCCACCCCTCCTCATCCTCCCCAGGGCAGGTATGACATGGAGCACTGGCCATCCAATCTTCTTGGGGACCCAGAAACCCTTTTCCCACCTGGTGAGGGAGGAACCGTGAATGTCCCGTTTTAACACAGCCCAGAAAGGTCAACCGAATGACTCTAGGCCATAGAGCTGGAACGTGGCAGAGGCTTCTACCTTGGAAACCTGACATGTCCACTCAGCATTATCTGCAATAGAGGTTAAAACAGATTGATGGACTCTCCACTTCTAGAGTTTCTGATTCTCTAGGTCTCAGCCAGTGTTGAGAATGTGCCTTTTGTGCAGGTTCCCAGGTGGTCCCGTCCAGGGAACCCACTTTGGGAACCCCTGTTGTTGACCCCTCCTGCTAAATGGAAACCCCACTTCAGCACCTGCGGCGTAATTAGAGAACTCTGGCTTTTAGCGCTGTTTGAATTTTGCAATTACTTTTTAAATGAAAGAAATAAAAAATGTACTTCAAGTATGTTTTCATTCTCCAAAAAATGTAGCTTGAAGACAGTCTCACAAAATGCAACCTAGGGAATAGATACATGGATGCTTGTTATCTTCCATGGTTGTCTGGATGTTTGACATTTTCCAACTGAACATTTCATTTAAAAAAAAAAATTAGGGGTGGGGGTAAGACTGAGAAAAACTGGATGAAATATGTTTAC